GCTAAGCTGAACTTCTATAAGGGCTGTAAGAAACAAAGTGGCCCCTGGTATCTGAGGAGCCTAGTGTATGTTAACTGGCATGCAGCATGCACAGGAGCAAAAAGTCAGTTCATCAGCTCAGTCCTTGCCATAACCCTAAATAACACGCCTCTCACTCCCTCAGTGCAATGACACCACCACTGCTGCTACTCATAAGGCAGAGGACTACGGGTAGCTGTTCCTTTCCCTCCATTCCCACCACTGCTTTAAATCCCTGCATAGCTTTCTTGTCAGGCTCATGCCAACTGGATTAAGGATTAAGACGGAAAAGGGGGGTTGGGGAGAGTAAAGGTCATGTGTACAATTTTGCCAGCACCATATGATTTCCCCTGGAACGGGAAAGGTTTTAAGACTACCCTGCTTCACTGACAGCCAGTCAATTTAAGAAGGAAAAGGACAAATGGTTTACAGAGACTGTTTTATTTGCAAAGCTTCGTGAAGTCTTAGCACCTAGGGGGGAAAAAAACAAATTTACAGTAAATACTAGGTAGTTTATCAAACATGTTCTATTAGCCAATATTTTTTATGATTTCTGTGTATTTGGTAAGTATAGAGATGAAATTAACTAAAATTGACTCAGAATATCTCAAACCGGCTGTATTACAAAGACTTAAAAAACAAATTTACAGTAAATACTAGGTAGTTTATCAAACATGTTCTATTAGCCAATATTTTTTATGATTTCTGTGTATTTGGTAAGTATAGAGATGAAATTAACTAAAATTGACTCAGAATATCTCAAACCGGCTGTATTACAAAGACTTGAATGCTTTAACTTGTCTATTTGCAGAGTAACATTTTTACCCCCGGTATAACTGAAGGAATTTTCATACAGGTTTGTGAGCATCCACTGGAGAAGAAGCTAACTCCCAGTGGTTCTCTTCCCTCCCCTTTAGGCTAGTCATTGAAATGTGTGGGTAATCTGACTAGCAACAATTTCCAGACTACCACCTTTGAAGGCCTTATTTGCAGAACTATTGAATTCAAGTCAGCCTAAATAACTTGCTTCTATACAGTAAGCACCTAAGTAAAAAATACATTAATATGAAGCAGGCCAAGAAAGCCTCAGCTTCCTGCTTAACCTGAAGAAAAAAATGGAAGTAGAGAATGTTCAACCTTACAAAACAGAGGTGTAATACTGGGCTTGAACCATAGCACGTCCTTTAATATATCCCATTTCCCCCTCAAAACATTCCAGGCAATTCCCCATTTGTGCAAGCTTAAACTGAGATGTGCTTAAATTAAACAAAGTAACAAAGAAATGGGCATTAACCCATCACATTTACACCACTAACTTCATTAATGATTTGGAGTTGGGAGTAAGCAGTGAAGTGGCTAAATTTGCGGATGATACGAAGTTGTTCAGGGTGGTGAAAACCAGTGAGGATTGTGAGGCACTCCAAGGGGATCTGTCAAGGATGGGCGAGTGGGCGTCAACATGGCAAATGGGGTTCAATGTGGCCAAGTGCAAGGTGATGCACATTGGAGCCAAAAATCCTAAATATAAATACACATTGATGGGGTCTGAACTGGCAGAGACTGAGCAAGAGAGAGATCTTGGAGTTGTAGTAGATAACTCACTGAAAATGTCGAGACAGTGTGTGACTGCAATAAAAAAAGCCAATGTTATGCTGGGGATTATTAGGAAGGGTATTGAAAACAGATCAGCCAATATAATAATGCCCCTATATAAATCAATGGTGAGACCTCATTTGGAATACTGTGTGCAATTCTGGTCACCACACCTTAAAAAGGATATTATAGCTTTGGAAAAAGTGCAGAAAAGGGCAACTCGAATGATAAAAGGGTTGGAACACTTTCCCTATGAGGAAAGGTTAAAGCGCTTAGGGCTCTTTAGCTTGGAGAAAAGACGACTGAGGGGTGACATGATCGAGGTTTATAAGATTATGCATGGGAAAGAGCAGGTAAAGAAAGAGGTACTTTTCTCCCTTTCTCACAATACAAGAACCCGTGGGCACTCCATGAAATTGCTGAGCGGTCGGGTTAGAACGGATAAAAGGAAGTACTTCTTCACCCAAAGAGTGATTAACACATGGAATTCACTGCCACAGGAAGTGGTGGGTGCTACAAGCATGGACGGCTTCAAAAGGGAATTAGATAAGCATATGGAGCAGAGGTCCATCAGTGGCTATTAGCCACAAGGTATAGCTAGGGGCTCTGGGGCAAGTGATGCTCTGTCTTCTTGGTGCTTGGGGGGGGGGGTCAACAGTGGGAGGGCTTCTAATGTCCTGGCCCCACTGCTGGACCTCCTGATGGCACTGGTATTTCTGGCCACTGTGTGACACAGTGTTGGACTGGATGGGCCTTTGGCCTGATCCAACATTGGCGTCTCTTATGTTCTTATCTGAGTCAGTGAGGAATGCAGTAACTGAGGCCTGCCCCACCTTGAAGAAAGGCTCTCAGAGCTGCCGAAGCTTGTACTCTAGCCTTCAGAAACACCACTAACTTTATTAACATATAACTCCCCACTTCATCATACCATTAATTCATTCTTCTTATGAGTCTGTTAATCTGGTCTTCCCTGTTTCCTGCATCACCACCTTCTACAAAGTGGGTAGTTTTCTTCTTCATTCCACCCCGTGGAGAAGACAGCTTGAATGGCCAGAGGAAGTTGTTTGCTGCCTTGAAGTTTTTTCCAACAGTGTAGATTTCATGGATCAGATCTTCCATACAAATGATACCATACTTTTCTGAAATAAAACAGAATGATCACAAAGTTCAGTGTGCAAACTGTTTAAACCATTATCTTTGATGCTCATCATCTCCCTGTTAGGCTCATTTGTCAAGTTACCCACTCAGCTTCATAGCAAAGGAGGGACTGGATACAGATTCAAACATTAACACAATGGCCCCATTGGAAAATATTACAGATCATCTGCCCCTGACAGAAATGTCAGTGCTTTCATCACTTAAACCCTCTGCCAGCATCCAAATGAAATAATGCCACTGCATCCATAAGTATGCTTAAATGTATGTTAAGTAACGGTCAAGGTCCTAAAACATTCCTGTTACTAATAAGCTAATTAATAAATTACATGGAAACACTGGGAAAATGAGAACCTTAAAAAAAACTTTTAAAAGATCATGTTTTAATAAAGTTTCTGCATTTTTATCTACAACTTTGAGGGCCTGAGTGGCCATAAATGGCAGACAAATACCTCGAGAGCGCCAGTGAAATGTCGTTGTTAGTGTGTTACTGGGAGATGCAGATTCAACTCTCCACTAGGCCATGATTCTCAATAGATGGCCCTTGGGCTAGTCTCTGCCCACTGCCTAACCTACCTTTCAGGGTTGCTGTGATAACAAAATAGGAGGGGAGAACCATGTACTGAGCTCTTAGTGGCAGAATAAAAACATACAGGGGCCTCGGCCACACGGGCCGGATATCGCAGGGGGCTGGGGGAGGCGTGGCTGTTTGCCCCGCAGTGAAATAACGCGCAACTGCGCGATCAGGCGTCCCCTCGCGGTCCTGTGGTTAGGGCCGATCACATGATGCGCCAAAGAAGCGGCGCGGCAAATGGGGTTGTGTGGGGTTTTTTTAACCTGAAGTATGTGCATGCCCCATTGGGTGCTTGTGCGCATCCCTGGAGATTGGGGGGGGGGGGTAACTTTTCGCAATGGGGCATGGGCGGGCGCCGGATGCCACCGGAAACGCGATCAGATGCCCGCCCTTGCCCCGCGGTTTCCGGAAACTAGTACCTCCGAGGTACTAGTTTTTAACCTCGCATCTTCGGAGGGAAGCCTCGGGTGAGCCACGGGAGCTCTACGCTTCCCAGATGTGGCGGTGAGATCGCGCCTGGAAAATCCGCCTATCTTCCGTTTGGCTTATTCTGGATCAGTAAATTGAAAACATGGGCACCATATGGACAATGAGGAAGTTGACCGGACTTGCTGTTTATGATTATCTGGACCTGTTCTTTGCATAAATTCTGTACAGGCTGTTTAGAAATATTTGAAGTAATTGTCAGTACAAAATCCCTCTCTCATCTTCACTTCATGGTTACCCTTCCTTCTATTTTGCATCTCTCCTGAGTGACATGTACAGTAATTGGTGATTGCATCACCCCAGTAATGCTATATATGGTGGCCGGTATAGTAGCTTATACCAGAATTTGTACAGGATGGAGTGACATACATTCAACTCACACAAGTTTGTGCTACCAGGTTAGTAGGCCAATAATTTAAAAAGTTTTATATAAAAAAATTAATTTCTTTTTGAAACATAACTTTATGTAATTATTTCATTCCCTTTCATATCTAGAATTATTGGTGGACTTTAATTGGCTAGACCGGAGGCCTACCTTATATAATAATAATAAACAAATACATAAGATAATTTTTATTTTTAGTATATATTATTTTTCAATTAATAATAATGTATATATGGGAAACTATAATGAATTTTTCTTTGTTTCCCTTTTCCCTCTTTTTCTGTTTGTAATCAGTATTTAGGAAACAACATCTGGCCTTATACTGCATATGTATTTAACATCTTATGTTAAAAAAATTTTTTTGAATGTATGTCAAATTTGTAATTGGAATTGTGACCACCGAGGAAGGCCCTTTGGGGGGCCAAAACGCGTTTGGTTCAGTTGCACAGCACTAACCCATCTATGTATGAATGTTGAGAAGTTTTTTATGTCTGAATGGTATATTTTTAATGAGTCTAAGTTTTAAAATGTGTACACCTGAATAAATTTTGCATTCTCATAATATTTCGTGTCAGCTTAACACTGCTTACTAGGACATCTCAAAGCAGTCTTAGCAAAAGATTACGGTCACTATGTAAACAGAACTACAGCATGGGAGCTAAAAAGACTGGACTTCAAACCAACCAACCAACAGAATGATTGTCAAGAAAGAATTTCCTCTGTGATACACAGCCCAACCCAGGATAAGCAACAAACTTACAGATGAATTTATACACCAAAAGCAACCAACATTTAGTAAATCATATTAAGTCACGAGGACTGCTAAAAAGTGAGTTGCACTTACTCAGACATTTCTTGATCAGAGAATTGTCAGTCAAAGCAACACGCTGTTTGTTGATCTTGCCATAGCCTCGCTTGTAGATCAATTCATGCACAGATTTTAAGTTGGGATAACTGAAACAAAAAAGTGAGATACCTGCATTGGCCAGTTCAATACTATTAACAAAAACAATCTTCTGTGTTTTTATATTATGCACACCACGCCAAACACTTCAGTCTATTGGCAATTCAAAACCAGTAATAGATGAATAAGCAGCAGGAGTGTCAGACTGTATGAAATCAAGTCTAATTCCAGGTTTTGGACACCTCTCAGTGTTGCTGATAACTGTGACCCCTCCTTCCAGATGCAACCATGACAGAGACAGTGCAGGCAAGAGAATGGCCGTGACTTCTCTCACCCATCCAATCAAATGACCAGCCACCACCATTAGGTGCTGCAGCTGCCACTCACTTGCCTGCTCTTCCTCTCAGGCTGTTGTTCCTAGGAGCCCTCAGGCAGCTAAATGGACAGTGGCATGCAGCAGCTACCACTCTATCTACCTGGTGAAGGGGAAGGAAGAACCACCATGGGCACCTGTGGTGGTGGCAGTATGTGTATCAGAGGAGGAGAAGAGGCCTGACCTTTCCAGGGAAGCCTAATACCACCACAGAGAAAGACAGAAGACTGAGATTGCTGCTATTACACAGTGGCAGACCCTCATCAAGTTATAGGTTCTTGAAAGCTAATCATGCCTTACTTGACATAAGCCTTGTAGGGGATCATGAATGGGGGGGGGGAAAGACCCTCAGGAACACAGGCCCCTTCTAAGAGCTACCAGCAGTGACTGATGGAATTCAAGAATGCACAAGACAGAAAGGCAGTGACTGCCATGAAATACATAAGGAAACTCGTTTTTTCTTTTACTTAAAAGCAAAATCACAAATAATTTAGCCTCTGGCAGAATATTAGCTTGTCAGCCTGGAGTGGACTATTTAATACATTTTTAGGTAACACTTCTAAAGTGTACAAGGAAGTTTACATAACAAAAACAGTTAAGATAATGATCAATAAAATTCAGTAAATTAAACAGAAGAATAAAAAGCATACCAATATGTTCATTCACTTTATTATTTGTTTTAATTCTTTTTTCTTGTCATTTTACTTTTCTATTATCAGTTATCCTGAGCAGGGATGGGTACAAACTGGCTCATGAGCCAAAATTTGGCCCGAACTGAGGTCAGCTCAAAGCCCCCAAACCAAGGTTCAGGGAAAGCGCCTTCCCCAAACATTTACTGGCTTTTTGTCCAGTTCGCCTGTTTGGTCCATTTTACCTGACGGATGCACCTGCCAGCCATTTAACCCTTCCCAGGCAAACCACCACCACCCCTCTGGGAGAAAGGGGGAACCAAACTCGCTGGACTGGCTCAGTTCATAGTTCGGGGCCACCCTGAACAGGATTTTTTAGGTTTGTGCTCATCCCTAATCCTGAGTGCCTTGGTAAGGAGAAAGATGGAATGGAATATAAATCTTAATAAAAACAAATCAGCAGCAGAACAGTTTAGCAACAAGTAAAAAAAAAAAACACCAGCAATACAATTGTGAAAAAACCTAAATATCCATTACATACAAGCAAATGCCTGAGCAAAAAGGTTGGTTTTAAATCAGCATTGAAAGATCAACAGGTTTGGCATCAGGCACACAGTTATACAGAGCACATTACACAGACAAGGAGCCCTATCAGAAAAAGCGCTATCTTTAGTGCCTACTCATCTTGCCTCCAAAATCAGGGACACATAGAGCAGAGCCTCTCATGAAGATATGTGCTGGGCACATATATATGGGAACAGGGTGTCCTTCTGACACTCTGATCTCAACCCATTTTAGACCATTAAATCCACAAACTAGCATTTTACATTAAACCAAGAAACTGACTGACAACCACAGGAGTTTTTCCATGTATGATACATTCCCTGCAAACTGATTCCCACTGGCAATCTTACCACTGCAGTTTGAACCAATTAAAGCTTCTGAACTATCTATGACACAGGCCAATATGTATATCTTATAGCATTGCTATGACAGCAGCTTCTCTCTGTTCCACTGTTCTTACACACACACACTCTTCCTCTTGCTGGTGAGAGAAAACCAAGTTCTTGTTCACAAACAGAAGGCAGAGGCTACCTCAGTGCCACAAAACAGGTAAAAGCAGAGAACAATTTAGTGTATGTACTTTGTTACTTAAAGCAATTAAATTCAAGATTCAACTTACCCCCATGCAATGTAGGGTTCAACAATCCTCAGCATGTTAATAGATGCCTTGTTGAGTTTCACAAATGTCCCATTAAAAATTTGGCGCAGACGAAGAAGCTGCAGTACCTTTCGAACCTTGGGACTAACACCATTAATGCTGAAAGATGCAGAAAAATTAGGCTTTAAGAAAATAAACCTATCATTGAAATTCAGAGCAAAATATTTTCATCTGATTATGTAAAATTAATTTTACTACAGATAACTGACCTTGGTGTAATTAGCACAATTATTAGCAAGTATTCATGTTAAGCATAACTTTAAAGATGTTAATTTCTGCTATATAAAATTCCACTAACAAACTCTCAACAATGTTCCGTTCCACTGAAACCAATAGAACATTCCCCAATCAGAGAAATCCTGCCCCACTGAAGATTATGGGACCCCTGGGGATAGTACAGGGCTGCAACAAGGGGGAATTAGGAGAAACTCCTACACAAACTTTTAGATGACCCATACCACAGAGAATGGGTGATCTCTGCTGATTCTGCAAGCCCCCTGCACTGTGTCCCAGCAGCGAAAATGTGTGTCATTTGTTTTCTATAAAATGCAACCCCGTATTTCCACGGTGGACAATGGATGTCCCAATTTTAATTAAAGATTTTCTTGTACAGTTTTCCTGCCTCCCCCCCCCCCCAAACAGAACCTTTAAGTTGCTCGTGTCACAGATTA